AACGCCCATGCAGCCAGCCCGTTCGCGGGATTCGAACCTCGGACGGGCGAACTACCAGTGTTCAGCGACTTTACCGCTCGGCCTCTGGTGGGCTCAAATTACTGAGAAACCACTTTTACATAAAGGATTTGTTTTAGAAGATGGAACTGTTTTAAATGTTGATATTATTAAAGAGAATTAAATTGTGTCACAAACTAAAACCAAATTATTTAATGGTCAAGGGAAACGAGAGACAAAAAGTAAGTATATATAATATGTTTTGATTTGAAATATTTCTAGATTGCATTTTAGAAGTTAATAGCGTAAAGCATATTTCAAATGAGAACTAATTCTGTTAAGATATTGTTACAGTTATTTTTTATTGTATCCTCTGTTATTATTGATTCGATTTTTTGTGCTAGCTTAGCATTCTAGATAAAATATATATAAAGTTATAATATAAGTAATTGGCATAAGAAGACCTGCCCCCTTAACCCCCACTTTTGAAAAATTAAATAATTATTTTAGGTACTGTGAATAAAGTTGTTTTGTCTAAATTAAGATAACAATCTTACATGTATTTATTTAAATGAAATATTGATGTAAGCCTAAGTTACAAAATTATTTTTTAAAAAATATATGTTATTAATAATGAATCGGGAGAAAAATATCCTAATGTAAAATTTTTTACAATTAGGCTGAAACTCAAACTTAGATTAGCAGAAATTTTGCCATATATAACCATACCGTTTAAAACTATGCCAATTTAAGGTTATTATTTTGATTAATTTTAAATAGCTGTTATTATAGTTATCTTAGCAGTTAGTACAGTTTCTCTTAGTTAACATGCAGATAAGAAATGATTAGAAACAAACAGGCATTTAAAGAAAAAAGAATCCCTGCAAATAAAAAAAGGAACTTTATGCTAAGAGTAGCGCATTTTATCTATTATTTTAAAATTGAGCAAGTACTATTAAATTTTTGTAATGTTCAGTGTAAAATGCATACTGCAGTACATTGTCTCTTCCAAATTATAGCTACCTTTCACACACAGCTCATTTTAAACGCTGATTCTTCAAATTTAAAACGCTAAATTTCTATGTTGTCAATTGCATCTCCGCGCTCAGTGCCATCATTGCTACGTCATCACTCCTCACTGCCTGTTTCAGGGGGAAACGCTCTATGAGCTAGCCCTTCTCTTTAGTCCTGATAAAAAGGGTGATGTATGTAAGGAAACCCACAATTTCGGTCTCGCTAACTCGGCCTGTTAAAAGCGCTAGGTTGTAGTGGCTCAGAGATCATCACGAATAGACTACCAACGGTTAGAAGAGTTCTTTTATACTGATGGGTCTCGTATTTTTTTGGAGAGTGATTCCAGACGAGGTTCAAACTGAAGGGAGCACACGCAATAAGCCTGAAAACATCAATGAAAAGCATCGTTACGAAGGTGGTTAAAACTTAGTATGTCCGGGCATCATTCTGAATGGACGCATTCACCATCACTTTTTACCACTGTAACTACAATCACTGAAATATACAGAGATAAGGTTCTTTACCCTTATTCGAAACTATTTAGAGGTGCAATCGATAATAACTTCCTCGTAATGGACAAAATCTCTTGATCATCACACTGCATTAATGATCGATTATCTCAAAGATGAAGGAATCCAGCTGAATTTTAAGTATAATAGATTATGCAAGTGATTAGTGACGCAAGTTCGTAGTCTAGTGCGACCGCACATAATTATGTGTGGGGCGCACTAGAATGTATCACTGCAGATCGCATTTAATTCTGTTTAGGAGTTTTAAGACGTTATTCATTACTTTGTATGAACTTTGGGAATATAATACCCAGCATGAAAAATCGCTGCAACGTTTGCATTCCACTCACAGCTGAACACATACCTTATTAAATCTTTCTATGCATTTCTAAAAATGTTTTAACACCAACACTTTCTTATTTACTTTATATCATATTTTCTGCCTTTTATTAAATATATGTCTATATATATCTATATATATATATTATAGTTGTTCGTTTAACGTCTTCCGCCAGTGTACAAATACTCTCTATTAAAACCGGTTTAGCAATATATGATTAAAAAAGTCTAAATCAATAACAGTAATTTAAAATTTATCGAGTGTCACTAAATTATATATACTATCATGTCAGCGCCTTTGTTATTTATTTTTAATTAAATATTAAAAGAATAAGTGTCTCTAGTTGATTATAATATCTTTTAAAAACTTTTGTAAATGTTCAGTAGCTTTAAGTTTACGTACAATTTGTGACAGCACTACATATTAGAAAAAAAGTATTTCAAATCTATTTTAACGTGAGCAACGCCAGTCAAATTTTTAGCGAGCAATCTGAACTCCGATTACTGATCTTGTTGTGCTAAGAACAATGGCATTGTCATATCCGCTAGATTATTTCTAATTGCTAATTGTCTATTTCATAATCATGAGAAGAAAATTTGGTTCTCATCTATAAGCTCTGAAAAAATAGGGCAATGGTTAAAGACCGATTATCTCATAAATACCTGTTGTTTTCCAAAATGTAATTCACACTAAACATATTTCCTCCTTTTGCGTTATATTGGGTGCTGAATTACATTTTAGTTCACACATTTCTAATCCCAGAATTACTGATGGTCACTCTCCGTTGCATTTTAATATGCTTTTACTATTACTAGTTATAATGCAAAAAATAAAGGAGGTATTGCATATCCAAACCCCCTTCAGCAATAAGACTTCTAGATCATAATGCAAATCTTTCTGTTCCTCATCCTCAAAATAATATTGAACATATAATTGATACAGAAATTTATTCAGATTTGTAAGTAGTTCAAGAAGATCTATACGTACCTGAAACAAATGAAACTATACCAATATTATTTCATTAAAGCGAGCTTAAAGATTTAGTAAGAGAGCTAAATTTGCCAAGGAAAAGTGCTGAATTTCTTAGTTCATCCCTTAAAACTAACACAAATACACTTTTCATAGTACAGACGCCGTTAAAGAGAATTGGTACCATATTTTTCGGAAGAAGTCTCACTTGTGTTCTGCAGTGATGACAATGCAATTATAAGGCATTTCTCCCGCATTCTTAACATGCCTTCGTAGTGTAATGGTCAGCACGCTCAGCACGTATTCTAGAAGTCCGAGGTTCGAGACCCGGTGAGGACATTGCTCATTTTTCATGTTTCCTGCTTCCAAATAACCTAATGTCTCTACAGTGGAGCCCAAACAAAAAGAAAAGGGTGGTGGATAATGATACTCCGCCACCAGGACTTGGTGATTGGGTCCCCCTGTCACCCATTAAAAAGAGGAAGTACATAAGGTATTTTCCCGGCTTCTGACCATGCCTTCGTGGTATAACAGTCAGCACGCTCGGCGCGTATTCGAGAGGTGCAAGGCTCGAGTCTCGGCGAGGGTATTGCACATTTTTCAGCTTCAAAAATCCTAATGTCTCTGCACAATAATGAATTTCATTGGTATTAATCACAATTCTTCTGACTGGATACTATTTATAGATTCCTTAAAAAGAAGATTGGAGGAAGGTTTGCTTCATAATGGAAATCAATATGCATTGATCCCAGTGGCACACTTAGTTCATTTGAAAGAAATATACGAAAACATCACAGTTTTATTTGACAAGGTGAATTATAACAAACATCAATGACTTTTATATGTTGACTTGTTAGTAATTAGAATGTTACTTGCACAACAATCTGGTTACACTAAATTTTCATGTTTTCGATGCGCTTGGGATTGTCTGGATAAAAAGAATCACTGGGGGGGGGAAGATTAGCCTTCCCGAGGCTGTTTATCACCTGGCTTCTAAAAATATTCTTCACAAGCCACTGGTGAATCCAAAAGCATGTTGCTTCGCTCATTTCATATTAAATTAGGTGTTAGGAAACAGTTAAATATAGCTTGAAGTACAGCTGGGGAGGTTTGTGGCACTTAAAATTCGAAAACATATGTTAGATTCTAAATTTGAAGCAACGATGAATGATTATGAAAAAGAAGCATGGTTGAGTCTTAAACAGGTGAATGAACATTTTCAGGGAACAGGAAACATCCAGATTACAAAAGCATAGTAAAAGATATGCTACAAAAATTAAGATTGCTCGGATGCAACATGAGTATTAAATTACATTTTTTACATGCACACATAGATTACTTTCCAGAAAATATAGGGAAAGTCAGCAAAGAACGAGGTGAACGATTTCATCAGACTATGAAAGACAAGGAAATACGGTACCAAGGAGAGTGGAATAAAAACATGATGGCAGATTATTTCTGGATTTTGAAAAGAGATGTACCTAGTGAAGAAAGTACAAGTAGGCGAAAATCAACCAAAAGAAAATTCTTGCCTTGAATTAATGCCTTGAAGCTAATGTTTAGCTTTAACACATTCAGCTAATTTTAGAACATGCATTGTATAAGAGCAATATATGTAAATATATTTTTATGTTTTTTCCATTCGATTATATGCTTTATATAATATACTAAATCTAAAGGTAAAATAGAAGTATTTGTGAAAATACAGAAGCTCTTAACCTGCAAAAAATCCTGACGGGATACCGAAATTCGGATTCCATTTTTTACATCATTACTGAAAAAATATATGAAATTACTTATTAGATTTAAAACATTAAAAAATGTTTTGAAATTCAAACCAGCGTAATTATTATGGGAAAAAACTGGAATTTCAACAATAAAATTATAGGAAATTTCTATTTTTTTTTAAACACATAAAATCGATGTATTTTAGAAGAGCTCACATATGGTACATTACACACTGAGCTGACATATTTTTTTTTTCTAGGTGCAGATCTTCTGACTTACATTCTACGTAGCATTTTAATCAGTTGCATACGGGGTCTATTTTAGAAAGTGAATTATATACGAACCGCTTAGCGTTTTATTTGTAAATAGAAGATTATAGAAATCAGCAAGTTAAAGAAAAATTTCAACAAAAATTGTGTGTACGTTATTTTTATTCGCAGAAAGAGCTTATTTAAAAATATTCACACAAAGCGTAGTAGTAATATAAAATTATACCTGTTTGATGACATTTACGGCTTCTTGGATAAATTGTTATATATCCGGGTATTGATGCATAAAGATTCTCTTCGCATTTGAGACTGAAATTTGGATTCTCTGAAACGAAAGATAAATAATAAATAATGCAACACACTTTTTAATGTTTCGAAAATAATGAAAAATCGAAAATCTTATTAATTGCAGATGATTGCTTGATGGTTGCGTCATAATCAATATATGCAGCATAAAATAGTTTAAATATCATTTTTAATTATATTTAAAAAGAATATACAAAAAGTGTTACGCTTGCAATTTGTGAAGAGATAAAGTTTTTAAAAGCCAGAAGAAAACCGTTCCAAATGGTTTCGTATCAAGATTTACATCAGTAAATTAAAATATCATTTGCTACTCTAAAACCAGACCTGAAAAGAGAATGAAAGTAAGATATGAAATCGGGTGGGGGGAATGGCTTAGTCATATGTTCATTATAGAATGACTTTGATAAAAATAAGAAGCGTAGTTAAATTCTCAGCGTTAGAAAACTTTTTGCATTAAAATGAATCGGTGAACAATTTATAAAGTGTACATTGTTGCATGTACGGATATTGAAAAGAAGAGGATAAGCATTTAAATGTAAGAACAAAAAATTTCAAAGATAATAATTATTAACAAAAAACAGGGAAAATTGCGTAAATTTGCAGCAGCATTTCAAGGGTTGTTTAGAATCTTTATAAGTTTCAGGCATAAAAACTAATTTCCTTAATCATTTTCGTTCCTCCACCTGAAGAAAAAATGTTCTATCAAATCCTCAAAGTATCCTCAGTGCAAATCCATAATTTTTTGTGATTATTATTATTATCTTTAACATGTTAATAAACCATTCTAAACAGTAAACAGTTGAAATCATTGAAAAGTGCGAGGTATATTCTTATATTTTATATTGGATATTCTACAACAGTAGACCTAAAAAATGAATCCCAACTAAGAAGGTACTACTTCAAGTGTTTTGTGAACTTAGCAAAAGACCTTAATAAAAGCTTGTGTGTTTCATAAAATTTAAATACTCTTCCGCATGTTCAATGTACAGTTGCATAATAATAGAAACATCAGTTTTGTGCCTCTTCAAGAAAGGCCACAATTTTCATCTAATACTGGTCTTCTGCCTATTTCCTGAGAACATAAAAATTAAGTGAAAAAACACATACCGAAAGTTATGAAAGATCTTGAAAATTCTATTAAGGTGAAGATCGACTTGCATGATTTCCGGAAATTTTATGAACATCATAATTAAATAATAGGGCATTACTTCAGCAATGTGACAATCTTATGTTATCCCAAAACTCGTAGTTATTCATTTGTAAAGCGAAATATCTGATAAAAAAACAGTGTTTCAACCTAAAACTTTTATTAACTCAAGGAACTTCTACCTAATTTCTATCAGGATACATAAAACTATTCAAAATGCTTCCAGATACTTAAATATGCAAAAATATACTCATATTTAAGTGCAAATATATTCTTCTTGCCTCAAGGTTGGTAAAAAGCATAGTATTAATAATGGTATTAATATTGAAAATTAAAAAAGGTTTTATTAAATGAAAACTAATATAATTTTAAACTTGGTCATACGTATTATGAATAAAATTGTAGTCGCCCAATGTCATCAATAAGAAACATTATAAATAACATCAAATCAAATAATTGTTCTTTTCCAGAAAACGTTCGAATAAGATACAAATGACCTCAAAATCAAATAACCTTTCTATTTTCAAAATAGCATCTAAAAATAACTAGGCAGTTTTTCTCTTTATAAATTGGTCTCTGTGCTTTGGTTATCGAAATTCCACTAGTTAATAGTGGTAACTAACGCAGACTCAGTATGAGTTCTATCTCAGCTAAACATACTAAAAATATCGAAGGTAAGATTTATGTAATTATTCTCAAACTCAGACCTTTCTTTGAGTAACACTAAAGTGCAATCGAAAAACAAATATATTCAAGAAACCCATACTAGCGTTTGCTTTCACTTATGTTTCGCCAGCTTGAACTTAGCTGCATTATGAGACAGAGAACAATTTCAAATCTTACAAAAAGCTAATTATATTTATTATTAGAATCCCTTATTAGGCTCAAAATACAGTCCTGCGAGATGATTTTACAGTTGACCCGGTTTAGAAAATTCTCAGTTATATTATTGACAGACTTTATCAGGATCAAAAATTGTAATTTTGCAAATTTCTTTAACAACCTCAAATGTGAAATTATTACTCCAAATTCTCCTTACGCAACTCATCTTCTCAGATGTCTTGCATTAGTTTTTTCCGTTTTCTTGTATCTCCTTATTCTGGGTTTATAATGTTTTTATTTGCAATGCTGACTTTCTAAAGGAATATCAAACTAATTTTAGCTCTCTTCTGATAGAATGCATGTTAGTTTATGACTCAATTTTTTTCTTATTAAGAAATTATAAATAAAGTTCTGAATGGATCTATCACCTTCTGTACTTTTAAATGATTCTGACTTATCCCACAAGATCTCAGGTCATTGTTTCGCTAACTAAAAAACCACATGACACTCTTTATACCCGCTATCTGATTTGCCCTGAAATCCTCTCTCTAAAATGGAATGACTATTAGTTACTGCTATGAAACCAAATGCTTACCCTATTTTTCCTTTTACTTCCTTCCCATTACTTCCTATGGAAATTCTATGCTGGGTACAAACATCAGGTTCCAGTTAGACGTTTCATCAGGAACAAATGGATACAATCTTTTGAGCTGAATACCATAATACTTACTCCATATCTTACCGTCTTTTACTCCAGCAAATATATTCTTCTTGCCTCCAGATTGTTGGTAAAAAGCATGATACTAATAATGGGTATATCGAAAATTCAAAACGGTTTTGTTTGAAAAAAAGTAATATAATTTTAAACTTGGTCATACATATTATGAATAAAACTGCAGTCGAAAAACATCATCAATAAGAAACATTATAATTGGCTTCAAATCAAATAATTATTCTTCTCTAGAAAACGTTCGAATAAAATAAAAATGACCTCAAAATCAAATAACCTTGTATTTTCAAAATATCATTTAATAATAACTTGGTGGTTTTTCTCTTTATAAATTGGTCTTTGTGCTCTGGTTATGGAATACTTGAATCACATTCACTAAAAATAGTTAAATAAATAAAAAAATTAAATTAAATAATTAAATTAAAAAAAGAAAATCTGAAAGGTTTTAGATTTTAAATTACGTCCAAAGAGGCGTCTTTCTGACATTTTGTCTGTTACCTTTATTAAGTATCACGTTCTTCGCACTTAAACCGTAAAATTCATTTCAAGAGCAATATCGCAAAATAGTTTAAATTGAGCATATCTTTAGAATTTTCGATACATAGTTTCGCGCGCTGGAGATGAAAATGTTTTTTTACTGTATAAAGTTGCCATTACTCGCTTTGAAATCCTTGAGTTTGTTAATAAAAAATTCTTTAAAGTTTTACAAAATATAAAATCGTTAATAAAACAAATTTCAAATTTCAAATTTGTGCTTCAACATGCCCATATTCGCAGTAGGATGACGTCATTCAAAATTCGATGGCTCTATGTACAGTAAATTTATCACAATGCGAGAAATATACATACATTTATGCAGATTTTTCATTATTCAATTTCTTAAAATATAATGCAGGACTCTAACATTTGGTGGCAATAATTTGAAAAGTGAAACGGACATTTACGCAAAATCGCAAAACGAAAACAATAGTCCTTCAGGGACAAAGCCCTTTGGACTAATAAAATAATGCATTTTTTTCATATGTTTATATTTTTTGATACAAACTCTTTAGAAACGATTCATAATTGAAATTCTTAACCTTAATACTATATTCGCAAGAAGCATGATCATTTTAATTGCTAAAAGAAAGTAAGTTATTAAAATAAGCTAAGTCGTTTACTAAGCTTACTAATAATAATTTACTCATTAAAAATAATTAAATAAATAAACAAATAAATAAAGTAATTTTTTATATCTTTATATTGATTTTAGAAACGATTCACATTTGAAATTCTTAACCTTAATACTATATTCGCAAGAAGCATGGTCATTTTAATTGGTAAAAGAAATTAATTTATTAAAACCAGCTAAGTCGTTTACTAAGCTCAAATAAATCAATTTAAAGTTAATTTAGACATAACTCTTAATTGCTTTCTGTTGGAAAATTGAAATAAAATCTAAGTACTGCATAGCATTTAGCATATGCATAACCATCTGAAAGTTTAATCTAAATATTCGTCTAAATATTTTCAACACTTCTAATTTGGTTTTAAAATTACCCTTATTTGCCGTGCCTTAAGTTTCTAATTAGAGTCTACTCACTAAATTTAGTTAATTCGTTTTGGTATTTAGTTGAGTTGTCTTTTTATTAGCTTGCTTCTTATTGTACCTTTATTTCTCTATTTGATAAGTGAAGATTTTCTTTTTTCGTTGACATTCCAATTTAAAACGATTAATTCCAACGGTTTAAGAAAGTTTGTGATAAGCTTCTGAATTAAATAAATCACTATTAAAAAGATTGAACAAATAACAATTTAACTTTTTAATACTTGAAATTTTTGCCATTTATTTCTCGATTATTGATAATCTTCTTTAAATTATGTAAAACTTTATCGTCTGAAAAGGCTTGGAAAATGGAAAATCAATCTGTTTATCAAACCTCTCATCAATTTTTTTTCAAATTACAGCCCTTATTATCAGATATATATAATATCTTTAACAGGCTATTTAATTGAAAGTTTTTGGCGTCATTTTACCAAAATTTAAAAATAGTTTTAAAAAAACATTTCGAAGTGAATGACTTTTTGAAATTTCGAAGTGATTCATCAATAACATGAAGAACTGTACATTTAATTTGGTGGAGATCACAAGTATTTTGCTATTCTTTTTTTAACTTCTTCACGATCTCTTGTTATTGCTTTAGGGGTTTCTCTTACGAGATTTTCTTGAAAGTCTCTGAGATTCAATACTTTCCACTTGTGATTTAGAACCAGTTCTAAATAAATTGATTTTATAGTTTGGATTAAAGTTACTTATTTTGTGTCTAATAGATAATCTAGT